CTAGCAGGATCATCGCACGCCTCCGGAAAGCATGAAAAGGGTTCCTAAACAACTACACATTTCCTTCAATTTGGGGTGGCCAAGATTTTGGGGGACTTCAACACCCATTGTTCAATGTTCACCCATCATCCTGTCCCCTTTTGGGCTAAGCAAGGTTAATCAAAGCACAAGGGGGGGGGGGGAGAGAAAAGAAAGTGCTATTTAAATCAAGGAAATTAAAGGCCGAAGATCAAAGGAGTAAAAAGCTTTCACTCCGTCTATATTGTAACCGATTTATTATATCTTCCTACAATTTCATTTTGTTTGTTTGTTTCCTGCCTTTATTGTTTTTATCAATAACTCAAGGCAAACATATCTAAAACTCCTTTCTCCTCCTATTTTCCCTACAACAACAGTCCTCTCAGGTTGGTTGTGCTGAGTCTAACCCAAAGTCACCCAGCCGGCTTTTGTGCCTAAGGAAGAACTGGAACTCCCCATCTCCTGGGGAACAATTAACCAGCATAGTTGACTTGAGGAATTCTGGGAGTTGAAGTCCACACGTCTTAAAATTGCCACGTTTGGAGAGCCCTGTCTTAAAGCAGATAACAGATCATCAGAGTTGGAAGGGACCTTGTAGGTCATCTAGTCCAACCCCCCCACCCAAGCAGGAGACCCTACACCATTTCTGACAAATGGCAGCCCAATCTCTTCTTGAAAGTCTCAAGTGATGAAGCTCCCACAACTTCCGAGGGCAACTTCTGTTCCATGGGTTGATTGTTCTCACTGTCAGAAAGTTTCTCCTTATTTCTAGGTTAAATCTTTCCTTGTTCAGTTTCCATCCATTCTTCCTTGTCTGGCCTTTGGGTGCTTTGGAAAATAGCTTGACCCCTTCCTCCTCTCTGTGGCAGCCCCCTAAATATTGGAAGACTGCTCTCCTGTCTCCCCTGGTCCTTCTCTTCACTAGACTAGCCAAGCCCAGTTCCTATAACTGTTCTTCATATGCCTTAGTCTCCAATCCCCTCATCATCCTGGTTGCTCTTCTCTGTACTTTTTCTAGAGTCTCAACATCTTTTTTATAATGTGAACAAAACTGGATGCAGTACTCTAGGTGTGGACTTACTAAGGCTTTATAGAGTGGTATTAGTACCTCACTTGATCTCGCTTGTATCCCTCTGTTAATGCAACTTAGGATTTGCATTGGCATTTTGGGCTGCATTCAGTATTTAAAATGAGAGAAGTGGATTTGGTAAAATCATGGACTTGCAAGGGTATTTGAGAGAAAAAAATCCCCCCACTCCTGTGGTTTTTTTAAAAAAAGCACAGCTTCCGTCAGCAAAAAAATTGATTGCATAACTACTGCTTCTTAAGATAAAAGCAGCTGTTTCAAGGGATTTGCCAGCATTGCAAAGCAAAGCATTTGGAGGAAATAAACTGTTTTCTTCCTGTCTCCTGGGTTTTGAAATAAAGCACAAGAATTTTATAAAGGCTTAGGGCACAGTTGCACATTTCCAAAACTTTATGTGCCAGGAAAATCTGGGTTTGACCTCCAGAATTAAAATTCTGCTCAGCAGCTTGGTTGGTTTCGGCCTTGCTTGACTGTTTCAGCCTTATATTTTAAGACTTCTAGTACTCCCATAATATGGGTGTAAAAGAACATGTGGAAATGCGGGGTCCTTGGTTCTCTCTGGGTTGTTTTCTTGCCGACATTTCATGACCCAACTAGGTAACATCAGTGCTGGAAGGGAGTTGGGTTTGTGGAAAGGAGGAAGCTGACTCTGGAGTCCTTGATAGTTTTCTTGCAGGCGTTTCATGACCCAACTAGGTAACATCAGTGCTGGAAGGGAGTTGGGTTTGTGGAAAGGAGGAAGCTGACTCGAGTCCTTGATAGTTTTCTTGCAGGCGTTTCATGACCCAACTAAGTAACATCATCAGTTCTGGAAGGGGTTTGTGGAAAGGAGGAGGAGGGCTGTGGGGTTCTTGGTGCTGTCTGAGCTTGCAGACGTTTTGTGACCCAACTAGGTAACATCAGTGGTGGAAGCGAGTGTGGTTTTCTCTATTTATATGCAAGTGACTTGCCCTGTCAGTGTTGGTATTTTCCTTCATGGCTCCTTGATCAGGCTGTTGCTTACAGTCGAGACCAAACTCCCATTTCCTTCCAGCACTGATGGCGTTCCCTGCTTTGCCTTTTAAGCAAGGAAATGGCCAAGTGGTATTGCTTTAGCTAATTTGAGTCTCGATTTCTCTATTCTAGTAAACCCATCTTCCAGCTCCCCCATGGGAATAGCGAGTTCAAGACCCCGTGGCCCCCCACCGCCTCCTGGAGAAGACAGTCGGGAGGTAAGTCCATTTATGGCCAGAGGTGGCCAACGGAGGGGAACCTAGGTTGTTGTTCCATCCACCCACCCACCCATCCATTCATTCATCCATCCATCCAGCTCTCCATCCATCCATCCACCCACCCATCCAACTATCCATCCATGCATTTATCTAACTATGCATCAACTCACCCACCCACCCATGCATCTATCCAGCTATCCATCTATGCATCCACCCACCCACCCATCCTTCCATCCATGCATCCACTCACCCACTCATGCATCTACCCAGCCAGCTATCCATCCACCCACCCACCCACCCATGCATCCATCCAGCTGTCCTTCCCTCCATCCATCCACCCAGCCAGCTGTCCATCCATGCATTTATCCATGCATCCATACACCCACCCACCCACCCACCCATTCATCCATCCATGCATCCACTCACCCACTCATGCATCTTATCCAGCCAGCTATCCATCCACCCACCCATCCAGCCATGCATTCATCCAGCTATCCATCCATCCATGCATCCACCCACCCATCCACGCATCCATCCATCCATTTATTCAATTTGTAGGAAGAGAAATTGAGCTATGTGTAGGTAAGGGGGGGGGGGGAAACAGCCAGGTACCTCAGCTCTTAAATCGGGATGAGATTCAATTACTTGGAAATTGCCTAAGAATTTTGTCTCCGGGTTCAAGGGGAGGTCTGGTTTGCACTTGTACAGCAGCCACATGAATCAACAGACTTACCTCCGTGGCCAAATTCTTTGTGTCCTCTTTCCAGAGGGTTCTTAGCCTGATTTGTCACAAAGTTTATCCACCCCATCAGCTCAAATGCCTTTTCTCTTTGCCCGCTGTTTCCTAAAGCGAAAGCATAACCAAGCCTGAACGGTTTTGCTCAGATGACAATCTTGAGTGTTGATTTTGACCCTTTCAGATCGACGATTCAGGGGTGGGCCCCAAAATTCCTCAAGCCTTGGAAAAGATCCTTCAGCTTAAGGAGATCCGTCAGGAAGAGCTGACATCTGTACCCGGCGCCATAGGTAAAGGACCAGAAATAGGATTCCTGGGAAATCTAGTTCAGAGACACTCATCAGTGCTACAGGCAGACAGATTATGGAATTGCATTGCTGGGATGAGACTTGGAATCTTTTTTTTTTTTTTAAAGTTTCTAATCCTCATGATAATAGTGGAAACAGATGGGGAATCTTGATTGGCCGAGTTAATGTCAACCCAAAGAACGGCACCAGGAGTTGCTTCTGAGTAGTTTCTCTATGGTTGTTCGCCCATAGACAGAATCTTGCCAGACTAAAGCAATTATCTGCATCATTAGAGGTACACCTCCAATTACAACCACAACTGAGCCCAACATTTCTGTTGCTAAGTGAGTCATTTGTCAAGTGAGTTTGTCAAGTGAGTTCCAACCTATTTTGCCACCGTTGTAAAGTGAATCACTGCAGTTGTTAAAAGTTCGTAACATGGTTGTTAAGCGAATCTGGCTTCCCCACTGACTTTGCTCCTCAGGAGGTCACAAAAGGGGATCTCATGACCCCGTCATAAATACGAGTCTGTTGCTGAGCGTCCGAATTTTGATCATGGGACTATTAAGATGCTGCAACGGTCCTAAGAATGAAAAACGGTCATAAACCACTTTTCTCAGTGCCGTTGTAACTTCAGACGGTCACTAAATGAACTGTTGTAAGTCGAGGGCTACCTGTTATCTTCCTTTTTTGGGGGGAGGGGGGCTGGTGTGTTTCTTCCCATTTTTTCACCTCCCCCCTGCCCATTCCCTTAGCCCCTGCCCTAATTTTGCCTTCCTTCCTTCCAGACGATGACATGGAGACAGAGCTGAGGATGCTGGCTGGCATCTCTGCCTCCGATGCTGAAGACGATGCTTCGGCCCTGTCTAAGAAAGAGGTGAGGGGGAATTGGGCTGGGTCAGCAGGAACTTGGGAAGGGCTGCAGCTCAAGAGACCGTCTCGTTTCCTTTTGCATGAAAAACGATCCTTAAATATTTACCGTATATGCCGGCGTATAAGACGACCCCCCAACATTTCCACTCAAAATATAGTTTGTTATATACTCGCCCCCTCTTCCGCACGCCTTCCACTTTTGCACTTTTTTTTTTTTT